CAAATAACAACTTGCTGAATCAGCAGAGACAAGAGACACAGTAATTGGAATGTATAGGGTATATAAGCCTTATGAAACTACCGTATATCAACCTTCAGTCATGATATCCCCGCAACAGCGTAATTCAAGTTGGGTAATATGCAAAATATAGAATAGTTTCCCCGAGGTCTAGCTGCTTCCTCGAGTCAGATCTCGGAAGTTCAAGACACTCTGAAAAATGTTCCATACATGTGTACATACGTAGCAGATTTATTCCCTTTATTTGTTTTCCAACACAAAAATGAGCTTTTAATTTTTCTGGTTTTATATTCGGTATGTATTTTGTGTGTGTGTGTGTTTCAAGTTTATTTTGATCTTTTTGTTGCTTTTTTTTGCTCATTTCAACACATAAAATGAGTCTTTTCTTTGTTTGTTTGCGGTGTATTCATTTTTTGTGTTTTAGCTTTATTTTCATCCTTTGTTTGCTTGTTTTTTTCAGCCCATTTCAGCGCCCCTTGCTAGACCCCGACGCCCCTTCACCCGAGCCTCCTCCTGGTGGCGCATCTCCCCCGAATGCACTCCACGTTGACTGGGTCGTACACGAAGCCCCGCTGACAGCGCCACGAGTACATCTGCCACTCGCCGTTCTCGATCACGCACTCGTGGAAGGCGTAGCACAGCTGGGAGTCAGGAACCAGGCCCGGCTCGAAGCACACAGGGTGAGGGGGAGGCAGCGCCGCCGTGGCCTGCGATAGAGTCTGGATGGCCGCCTCCACCTCAGGAGACGCCACCTGCTCGCCGTCCCTCACCAGCGGCGGGCTGCTGAACACCCTGCTGGGCTGGCTGGCGGGGACGCTCGGCCTCTGGCGGAACTCCTCCTCCTCTTCCTCCGGGAAGAACGGCGGCTGCGTCTCGAACGGCTCTTCGTCCGCTAGGAACGCCTGCGGGTCTTGGCCTTGCGGGAATGACTGCGTCTCTTCGTCCTGGAATACTGCCTGGGGGCGTCCTTGATCCTGGAATGCTGCCTGGGGGCGTCCTTGATCTTGGAATGCAGCCTGGGGGCGTCCTTGATCCTGGAATACTGCCTGGGGGCGTCCTTGATCCTGGAATACTGCCTGGGGGCGTCCTTGATCCTGGAATACTGCCTGGGGCCGTCCTTGACCCTGGAATGCTGCCTGGGGGCGTCCTTGATCCTGGAATGCTGCCTGGGGGCGTCCTTGATCCTGGAATACTGCCTGGGGGCGTCCTTGATCCTGGAATACTGCCTGGGGGCGTCCTTGATCCTGGAATGCTGCCTGGGGGCGTCCTTGATTCTGGAATGCTGCCTGGGGGCGTCCTTGATCCTGGAATGCTGCCTGGGGGCGTCCTTGACCCTGGAATGCTGCCTGGGGGCGTCCTTGATCCTGGAATGCTGCCTGGGGGCGTCCTTGATCCTGGAATGCTGCCTGGGGGCGTCCTTGACCCTGGAATGCTGCCTGGGGGCGTCCTTGATCCTGGAATGCTGCCTGGGGGCGTCCTTGATCCTGGAATACTGCCTGGGGGCGTCCTTGATCCTGGAACGGGAATCCTTGGTTTTGGAATCCATCAGTCGCCTGCGAGAACCGCTGATCGACATTCCGATTCTGGTCCGCCGCCTCCGACACGAGCACACGATCCTGCAAGCGGTCCGGAGCGGTTCCCCGGACCTGTTGAGGTCTGGGCACGGGGCCGGGGTTGAAGAACGACGCCTCACCCAGCCGCTGCCGGAACTGAGACTGGTCCTCCCGGCTCTGCGGTCGCGACACAACTTGCGACTCTACCTTGTGCGGCATCGGCTTCCGTCGCGTGGAGCCCCTCCGGCGCGTCGAGGAGGAGGAGGAAGAGAAGGGCCTCTCCGTCTCGGGAGCGAACGTGGTCACGAACTCCTCGTCTTCGTCGCGGAGACCCAGCGTCGTCGTTATCTCCACCTCCTCCTCGTCCTTAACCACTGGCTGGAGAGAGATCGTAAGATTAGATACAAAAAAGGCTTTTAAATTATAAGACAATATATGAGAAGTTATTTGCATGTTTCACGTTATTTCCCAGCATATGCCAATCACAATAACACATACTTCTTGTTAGGCGTTTCATCTGTACACCTCTGGTTAGTCCAGGTCGCCATGCAGTCGCCATAACATTCAGTCCTTGTTAGTTAGTCGACGAGACAAGCAATGAACGGTATTTTTACAGTGCGTTGTTAGTCAAGATTTTTTTAGGCGAGGCCACTCCAAAGACGAGGCTTTTTCAGCAATTTATTTCTTATACATGCCATACTATCTGAGATCTGATACCAAACTACATAATTCGTGATTTTATGTACACGTTCATTTTATATTTTCCTATCACGGCAAACCATTACTATATACTATTTCATGCAGAGAACACCAAATTACCACACGAAATTGGGGAAATTTTATTCATATACAGCATCTTGCAGTTACAAGAGAGTTAATCGGGAAAGACAGTTATGAGTTCAAACTGTAAATGAAGGAGGGAGAGTTTTCCTTTCCACTGAAGAAAATAAGAACACAAGGAGAGAAAAAAAAGGGTGACGAGCAGAAGGTCAAGAAAAGATAGAAAAGGAAGAAGAAGATTAGAAGAAGAAGAAGAAAGGGATGAATTATATTTTTATCCTCCCTCAGGAAGAGCAAGGCAGCTATTTTATGCTGCATAAACAAGGCACTAAATGTCTTTCTCTGCCACTTGCACCACCACCGCCCAATACCACCAGCCGATACACCACCACCACCACCACCGATGGGCTGCTACTACCAACGCCACGGGCTCTGAGGGGGTGGGGGCGGCGTGGGTGTGGACTCTCACCAGCGCCCTGTGACCCATGCTGCGCCCATCACCGCCGCCGACAGTAGGCCCACCATCGCGACCCGGGACAGAGAACCCACCGAGATCCCCGTCGACGAGCTGCCGCCGCTGGTCATGGCCTCCTGCCACAGCTGCGAGTACTCCGAGTTGTTGGGCATTTGGAACTGGAAGTCGATCGGCTTGAACAGCTCCAGGCGGTGGCTGCGGGGAGGCGCGGGTTCAGTACCGACGCATGCAGGTACGAAAATACACGCACGCACACAAATACATACACACGCACAAATACGCACACACACACATACACACACACACATACACACACACACACAAACACACACACACGCACACACACACACACACATACACACACACACACACACACACACACACACACACACACACACACACACACACACACACACACACACACACATATACACACGCGCACACACACACACACACACACACACACACACACACACACACACACACACACACACACACACACACACACACACACACACACAAATATATAGATAGATAGGTAGCTAGATGTGTCTACATATCAGCACGTCATCAAAACTCCCGTCCCTCTCCGCCCCCTGAACTCACAAGTCCGGCTGGGGATAGTCCAGGTCGTTCTCGGGCGCCGGGAAGAGCGACTCGTAGATCCTGTCCTTGTCCGTGCCGTGGATGGCGTAGGCGTTGATGCGGGTCACATTCGGGGGGAAGTACTCGGGGGGGATCAAGGCCGACCCCGTCCACTTCCCCTGCAATAGAAAGGGAGGAGGAAGGGAAGAAAAAAGAAAAGGGAAAATTAACACGTAGTCGTCGTACTATGTTCACGTACACGGAATAAGGTGACAACGATAACGATTTTACGACTTAACGACTTAGCGATTTTACGACTTTACGATTTACTTACGTCCGTTGTCGTTGGGACTTGAGCGATGTAGTCTAGGGGCATGGAGTGCTTGATGGCGTTGCGGGCGCCCTTGAGCAGGAGGAGGAGGTGCTGGCCCCAAGGTCCGAGCTCCACCTCCAGATACTCGTCGTTGTCGTTGAGGAAGAACATCTCCACAACTGCGAAAAGGGGAAGTAAAGAAAGAACAATGATAAAAGGGAAAGGAGAGAGTAATAAGAACGCGAAAACATACCGAAAGAGAAAGAGGAAGTGAGTAACAGAAAGGAGAGAAAGAGAGAGACGAGCAGAGGGCCAAGAAGGACCATAAAAGAAAAGGGATAAAGAAATATAAATACATAAGCACACCTCAAGAAACAGAGAAGGGAGAAACAGAGCGAAAGCAAAGAGAGGGAGAGACGAGCAGGGCGCCCCGTTCAACCTGAAGAGGGCGTAGGAACTCACCCTCGTAATCCCAGAGACCGTAGAAGGGCTGGCCAGAAGGACCGTCGGGCTTGGGGTCGTTGAAGAAGGGAGCCGTGACGTTCATCTCAACACCTGCCTGGATGATTGAGAAAAGATTATTCAATGATTGATATGACGATTAAAAAGGTGACCATATTTACGACATTTAAACAGCCACATTTTAAAAGTAAGAATAACGTCTTGGAACAATTATTAATTTTTTGCTAGTATTTTGACGAATGAATAACGCCAAAGTACAATAATTAAAGAGTGAAAGCGACTGTATTACAACACTTAAACATCCAGCTCTTCTCTATACATATCTACGTATCTTCAATATTATTCTTCCTAGTATTTTCAAGTATGAAAAACGCTAATGAACTGATTAAAGAAAGGCATCAACCACATTTCAACACTCAAATATCCTCTCTGTATACACGTATCTTCAATATTTTTTTTCCTGCACGGATCGTCAATCTACTTTTTGCACTCATCCTCAATCTACTTTTGCACTCATCCTCAATATCTTTCTACAAGGACGTGACCCCAAGATCCTTCCTCTAGCCTTCTGAAGCAAGAACAACGCCAACGGGCAATACATCGCTCTCCGGGAGACGTGTTTTCCTTACCTCGAATCCTTGGAGCTTAATTTCGACCGGATCGTGAGTCACGGGTATACTGTTCCATTCTGTCTTGATGTGGTATCGGAAGATCCTGCACGGGCGAAATTTGGGCATTAATACCAAATAATAGATTCATTTACTTCTATACCTGTAGCTCGCGCGAAAAATTATCTAGATCGTGCTGCGTACCGAGCGTTAGGCCAGTATAGTTCTAGACTAATGACTCAACACTAATAACAACAGCGTGGTATGTCAGTTTTTTTAATCAAAGGATAATATCTTAATTATTGACCTAAACACTTTTGCCTTTGGTCTGCTTACCCCTCAATGGCATCGAGCCAGAGTTGAGATGACTCCTCGGGGAGATCGGGAAGCACCTGCGTGAAGTCGACCTCTTCGAAAAACTGCAACGCGTGGCTGGAGGAGGGAAGGAAAACGTTTATTTTCAGGGGTGGAGAAACGTTTTACTTTTGCGCGGGAGGGAGAATTGTTTGTTTTCAACGAGGGAAGGAGAAACTTCCATTTTCAACGAAGGAAGGAGAAATAGCTTATCTTCTCCGGGAAGAGACCTAAAACTTTTTTTTTCTTGGGGGGGGGGGGGGGGGCTAAGGAAACGGTAAACACATTTTCCACGAAGAAAGAAAAGACATTTACTTCAAGTTCTTTTTTCTTTTTCTTTCTAAACAAATACAGATAAAAAAACAGCTTCCATCATTTTAACAAAATAAAAATGTTTCATCGTGACTCACAAGTCCGGTTCGGAGAGAGAGCCGTCTGAGGGGAAGAGACTCCAGAACTGACGGTTTGGGGCCGCTCCGTGCGAGGCATAAGCGTTGAACTTTGTCACCTGCGAAATAGGGTAAAAAATATAGAATATAATGGTTTTGTATCCGTCTGTCTCTCTCACTCACTCACTCACTCACTCACTCTCTCTCTCTCTCTCTCTCTCTCTCTCTCTCTCTCTCTCTCTCTCTCTCTCTCTCTCTCTCACTCTCTCACTCTCTCACTCTCTCACTCTCTCACTCTCTCACTCTCTCACTCTCTCACTCTCTCACTCTCTCACTCTCTCACTCTCTCACTCTCTCACTCTCTCCTCTCTTCCTCTCTTCCTCTCTTCCACTCTTCCTCTCTTCCTCTCTTCCTCTCTTCCTCTCTTCCTCCCTTCCTCCCTCCCTCCCTCCCTCTCACCAACTTCCCGCATACTCTCTCTAATTAACACCAACAAAAACGATCAAAGCACCACTCATAACAAAAAAAAAAATAAAAAAAACAAATAACTCAAACAAAAATAAACAAGCGAACTCACATTACGAGGCAAGTAATCCACAGGGATCTTAACCAGGCCCGTCCAGGTGTTCGATTCCCGGTTAATGCGCGCGGTGGTCATTAACGGCAGGTGAAAACGTATCCGGACCCGCTCGCCGTTGTAAAGGAGACCTTGGTAATGGCCCCGCCTGGGTGGAGCGAAAGAAAACGTTTAGTGGTTTTATATTGAGTTGTTGAAACGTTTGATTTTTTTTTTCTTCTGTTTTTGTTTTATGTTCATTGCACATCAATGGTTGTGGTTTATTTGATACGCTTCCATACCTGTTTAAGAGTGTTGTTTTAGGTTATGTTTGTGTTCATATTAATTGCAGTGTGCAATTTTTTTTTCCTCTCAGAAACGTTTGTAACGATGTGGGTGACAGATATTTGCCGATGGTGACGTAAATTATTCAACTATAGGCCTTATTAATCATAAACTATAATTATAAAATAATTATAATTATAAAATAAATAGTTTTACTTACGGAGTTAATTGCATTTGGAAATACTGATCTTCATCGTTGAGGAAAAAAGCTTCCACCACTGTTGAAAAAGAAAGAAAAAAATCAAGTATACAGTTTACGAAGGTGAAGGTGACCATGAATATGAACTTGGTGATGATCATGCCTATGGTGATAGTGATAATAATGATGGTGGTGGAAGTGGTGATGAAATATAATTAATCTGACGATGGCTTATCATACAGAAATTATTATAATTCTCTTGAAGATAAAAATAATATAAATAATAAAGACCATAACAACAATAACGTTACGAAACTGCACTAACACAATAACAACCATAATAACTATGATCACAACAACAAAATCATTATTCAATATCACCATCCATACCTACCGCCCCCCCCCCCTTTCATCCCAATACACACACCCCCCCCCCAAAAAAAAAAAAAAAAAAAAAAAAATAAACTACACCAACCACAAATACATCGTAATCTAAAACAAGCACATCATAAATTCGAACTTACCTTCGTCTCTGAAAAGCGGCATAACCGACTCTCCCGAAGGCGCGTCGGAGGAAGGAGCGTCATCGAAGAAGGGCGCAATGATGCTGACCTCGAGGTGTTTCCCGTCAGGACTCCCCGACAGGCGCAGCTGGACCGGCCGCTCGCTGCCTAAGGGCTCTCCGTCCCATGTGTGTGTGATGTTGTAGTCGAGAGGCCTGTGGGGGGAGGAGGAGGAGAAGGGGGGGCGTGACGGAGGACTCACTGATTCCAAGATCTTGGGTTTTTATATCCTTGTATGTATGCGTGCATATATGTGTTTGTGTGTGTGTGTTTTGTTTGTGTCTGTATTTGTGTTTGTGTGTTTTGTTTGTGTCTGTATTTGTGTTTGTGTGTTTTGTTTGTGTTTGTGTTTGTGTGTG